CCCCCCCCCATAATTACGCTTATGGTCCGTCAGTTGTTGGTTAATTGTTTTTTGAAAAAATAACTTAAATTACCATAACTTAATGACAAATATATAAAATTAATAAATAACAATAGTAGGGGTAGGATTTCTATGTAAGTACATAATTGTATTGAATGATATATGTTTTCACTATACTCTGATATCTTAATAAAATAAAATTCCTTCATTTTTACGTATACCTATGTATTGACACATACCTTTTGAAGTAATTGCACTATTTAAATGTTTAGGTAGAAAGTACATAATATATTCCTATTCAGTCTCCCAGACATATTAACCACAGGGGCGTGCTTACAGAAGAATCGGGGAGTAATTTACTCCCTTTGACTTATTTAAGTCATATAAAATATATGATAAACAATTAATGTCTTAAGTACAGTGATCGAAATCGACCGGAACCGCGTTCAGGTACGTAATATAAACTTTAGGTCTGTTCCGGTTGGTTAAAATTAAAATTGAAGGGTTCCGGTTCTTAAAAATCGAGGGGATTAAAATCATTAAATTTCTTTAGACAAAATGTAATATTAATATACTTAATATAGAGAGAACTGAGAGAAGTTCAATTTTTATAGACGTTCAAGAGGCTTCACTTGATATCACGCATATTGCTTTTTTGTATTATTRCAATAAAAACGTAAATGATTTAATGATCGAATAGTACTAATGGAAGKAGAAAAAGAAAGTGTTCCGGTCTTCCGGACGAYTTGAAAATATTTTTTAAAACCAAAGCTACTATTCCTATTTTTACAAGTGAGTGCGAGCGAAATTTCAGCTCAATTAATGAAATCATAACACCCCGCAGATCTTCAATAAATATTAGTACAGTCTCTGCACTTATTTTTGTTTATTGTGTTGGCMCACCACTCATTGAATTTTGTCCTGAAAAATATGTACGCTCATGGTTAATCTAAGGTATTCCACTGATGACACTGCAAGTCACAAACGTGAGAAAAAATTGACGAAAAATACTCAGTATTAAGGAAATTATTATAAACTATCTATAAAATTTGAATTGTATTGTATAACTATATTYTTAGATTCTGAGCGGAGCGAGGAATGTATTTAAGATTAAAATTACTTGTATTATTAATATCTATTTAACGAATTAAATTGTATTGTGAACACAGATTAAGAATTAATATTCTAATCTGCATATTCATTTTATGAGCGTTSCGGTTCGTAAAATTTTCCATTTCAAGCTATAACGTCGTATAAAAATAGTCGAAAATTCGTATCCCATTCTTTCAAGAAAGCATGTCTTTAATATTGACAACATATAATTAATAACTATTATTCTGTGGTACAATATTCAACGTATTGTAAATCGTATATTCGTATTACACAACGTCGTAGTACATTTAAGATAAGATAGGTAACGATTTTTTTACATCACCATATCGGTTATTCAATCTCGCTATTTTTTTTCTAGCTCGAGTGACTAGTTGTTTTCGTTTGTTCATTTGTTTTTTTTATTATTCATTAGGCACCTTATTTTTTTATAGTTAAAATATTAAATCAAAAATAATTTGTGTTTTTAAAATATATTTTGATTAACGTATCAACATAATATTTACATATTTTAACTATTTATTGCATCAAAAACCATACCTACCCTAAGAATAAGTATTAGTATAATTAGTTAAATATTAGGATTTTGTTAACATCAATACTAATATTTATGTAATCGAACCAACAAAAACAGATTTCAAGAATTGTRTTTTACTTCAGAAACCAGATGCACGTAAAAATATAATATTGGCAAGGAACGGTTTAGGAACATTCAAAACATTTTAACATGACGGATAACTCATTACACAAAGTACACAGAATAGTTGTATAGCAAAACTAATCTGGATTGAAGCTTTGAAGCTTATATAAGCACATATTAATATGAAGGGTAATATACTGTTATATTACGATATATTACGATATAAAATGAAGGTAAAGTTTTAGAAGTAAATTTACTCCAATTTTTTAAACGCTTAAGTAACATTTTCCTTGCAGCATCTGAATGCAGTGTTAAGGCTTGACTCTGCAGGGAAAAAGTTACTTTTCTAGATACTTCAGATATTTCAGATAATCATACTTCAGTGATCATTTATCACCGAGTTTACTATCCACTCTTCAGTTTATAGTAAAATACTTAATCTATATATAAATTCTATTTATACATATCAGCTGTGATTGTGAMTTGTGAGAGYATAATATAAGCACAGATTATATAAAATTATAAATATTATAATCTGTGATATAAGTGACAATAAGTAGATATTACATATACATATTTATGTTATACACGACATTGTGCATATTATGTGTATGTTTCATATTTAAGAAATAACAATTGACGTAATATCAAGTTACGATATTAAGTTTTGATTTCAACTTCCAACTTAATCGTTAATCTGTGAATCAATGTAGGTATCACCGAGCTCGACAAAATAGATTGTCATGTCACCGAGTATAACAATATGTTGTGATAAGGTGATGGCAATTACATTAACCGATGTCTGATGAGTGATAACAATTGCCGGGATTTCCCACATTTTGCCCTGGCATGAAAATAGCATGATTATCTAACGTAAACATTATTCCGTCTTGTGGATAATCGACAATTAATTCGATACGTCAATGCGTCTCGTGTCATGTGTGTACCAGAATATTTGTTCACATTGAGCGGCGGTCGCGATTGTCATATTATAATAAACCCTGTTTAATTATTTAAAGCGTATTCAATATATTATACATTTATATATATTTATGAATATTTTTATGTGTATATCGATGTCGGCTATAGTTTTGCTGTATTTTATAATATTTTTTTTCGCGTTTCGCCGCCAAAATAATTATCGACGATAACATGACGATGCGAGTGCCATTTAACCACAACATTAAAAATATACAATAATATAATAGTTATCATACTCACCGTTTCAAGTGTAATAATTTATTGTGTACAGCAGCTGCGCGCACGATGATCCTTCACGACGGAATGATGCTCGACGATGGGTCATCGTACCAGAAAAAGATGTTCGACAGGGCGGCCGTGCTCTTACAGAAGTTCCSGTTCCGGTTTCTCAACAGAGTTTCCAGAGAGAACACCGAGTGGTCCGGCAATCCGCGCAAAATGGCCTTTTATTACTCAAAACGTTTTCCAAACATGTGTGTGAGCTCGTCGTTCTACGATGACATAATGAACATTGCCGAAATACACGTGAACTATTATCGTAAGTACTGAGTATTGTAAGCTTTTGTTGCACCTAACTTAAAATKCCATTAAATATTATTAGATAACTAAGTGTTTTTTTTCCTCCATACTCGTCGGTCGTTTTTTACTTTGTGCGAACTGATCTATTTTAGGTAAAAGTGTTTTAAAAAGTTCTTCATCTGATTAGATCTGAAGATGGCATGTCAGTCTAAAATATTTTATTTTATCTTTTATTAGTAAAAATATAGATAAGTTGAATTCATTTTTTTTTTAACATTCTATTTTTCTAAAAAGGTCAGTGATTTTTGGTTAAAGTTCTAATTTTTATCTACTTTTATGTGGGACCTTGTATTCAATATTCTAGACTTGGCCACACAAATTAAAAATTTTAACWACAGATMAATTGTGGTTTTATCAAAATTTAAACTTTACCTAATATCTTTAATATTCTGAAATACAATAATAAAGTTTTTAAGCTTTTTGAGTGAACGAATAATGTTTTAGAAATTTTTTAGAAAAAATCTTAAATTAATGATGTAAGACATTACATACAAAGGCAACCGAATAATTTTTTTATGATAATGTAGAAAYTTTCACTTTTATTCTAGATTATTTTAATGAATACCGAGATTTTTAACCTTCTAAAAGTACCAACTAGATCCAATTTTCTTCTTAAACACTATCAAAGTTGATGATCAGACAATTTTTTTTCTATTTGAAAAGTTTAGTAATCAAAGTTGTACAAATTTTTTCAAATATCTCACATAAACACAATTATTAGACGAAAAATAAAAATAATGTGATAATTATTAAATTTCAACCTTCCACCCTCAAAACCAAAAATGTTCTTGCAGATGCCACTTTTAAGTAATTGAAATTCTATGAGAATAAACTGTACTTATCATAAAATGACTAGTTGTTAATTACTAAAACCTCAAATATAAGTTAATAAAGTATCTACTTGTTTTTTTATCTAATATAGGTACCATAGACCTTAATATATATATTAGTAGACAGTGTTTAAGGTAGACACGGTTGGTCCTTGATAATTTGTGTTACAGATATATATTTAAATTTTAAATTGTATGCTGTATACAGTTATATCCTTAGTTTATTGTATAATCTCTCGCGCATGTTCATAGTAGCCAGTAGGTACAACAGGTACAATCAAGCAGCGTAGCCAAGTAATGCCAAACAAACTACTCTCTTGCTCTGTCTACTAGTATCCAGTGGCGTAATTAGGAATTTAGTTTAGGATAATTTGGATTATATATTTTTAGCAAAATCTGTAAGCCTCATACAGTAACTTAGCCCACCAAATATAAGATTTTAGCAGGCAGTAAAATAAGTTTTGGGAGATCTATCCCCCTCGTCTCCCTTAATTACGTTCCTGATAAGGTTAGGTTTAGAATAACCGTGAGTTTATCATCAGGGGCGGCTCCTAAGCCTTGGTTTGGGAGGGGGGGGGAGAGTTTTAATTTCACAAAACTTTACAATAAAAATTATAATTGGTATATATTTTATATTCTTAKTACTCCTGTTTTCCAAACAGAAATGTGTGCCACACAATTCATGTTTCAAACATAATAAAATCATATATATTTTTTATTAATATAGTTTATTTATAGCCTTATAGGTTCTTCATAATATAAATAGCAGTAAGGTACCCAATATATTGTCCATCATACCTCTATGGTTCTATCTACATACTTGTGCGTATTGTATAGTCAATATTATACCTAATATGCTTTTTTTGTAATTTTTTTTTTTAACAATATTCATATTTTTATAAATACGGGCTTTGGGGAACGGCCCATTTGGCTTATCATTTATAAATTATGACAATATGACGTATTAAATAATAATTCTTTTCTTATATTACCATTGATTATAAATACTAGTATTTATGTGACAAATAAACTAATTATTTATATCTAAATTAACAGAATCCCGTTGGTTTGATTTTGGTGATCTATATTCAGAGCCATCTTTCAACGAATCTTCTGTTCCATGGACTAATCGTCCAATATTACAACCAATACATACGCAAAATACATTTGTTCATAGTGTCAATTACAACAACTACAATAACAATCAGAGGGATTTAACGAATAGTCATACACTTAAAGTTCAATTACCCAATAAACTAGTCACCATTCTAGTACCAACACCTAGTTCGGTTGAATCATTTTCAGCATCTAGTTCACCATTAGATTTTGAAGAGCCTATTACACCTATTAAAGTAATGTCTGAAAATAATGATGATTTTAAAAAGTCGCCTGAAGAAAATAATAATAAAATACAAGTCATAGAGAATGATGATACTAAAAGCAGCAGTATCGACTCAGATAGTTCTAGGTCTGGTACTCCTATTGATGAAAAAACTGTATCATATGCTSAAGTCATTAAATATTCCAAACCAACAAAACCAAAACAATCTGAAAAGTCTGATTTTAATATTATTGAAGAATCTAGAAAAGAATCTATTAAATCTAATAGAATTCCACCATCTAAAAAAATATCAATTAAGCTACCTGATGCTCCATTTCTACCAAATAACCAACATTGTGCATTTTGTAAAAACAATGGTGAAGAAGAATCAGTTTATAGAACACATTTTGTTAAAGATGAACTAGGAAACGTGAAGTGTCCATTTTTATCGAGGTACACGTGTCCACATTGTAAAGCAACTGGGACTAAAGCTCATACTATTAGTAGATGTCCATTAAGTAATAAAAATAGAATTAATAAATTTAATAAACAACAGTGATAAAACAAAATTCATTGTTAACGTAATTTTAATATATATATATATTTAAATATTATTTGTTTCTTTTATCATAATAGAGCAAAATACAATTTTTAAATTAAAATAACTATATTTACTTGATATTTTTTACATTTTATTCTTTTGGATTTTGTTACAAGTATACAACTAGTAATTAATAATTTAGGACAATTTTGTTCGTGTTTATTCAAGTTTATAAAGTGTTATATGTTTTAAGATTTAAATGTTTATATCAGTTTGTTTAAATAATAAGTGAGGTTTTAAATCAAAAAGACTAAACAAAAGCTTTGTTATTATAAAATTTCAAATATATGATTTTTTGTTATTTTGTTATTTTATTATTTGATTTTAATTTTAGTTTTATATTATGTGAAATATATAAAACACAATCTTTTTTTAAATTAAATGTTTAACAACTATTACGCTATTAAATAACTTGTAATGAATGATTGCTTTTTTTTTTTGTATATGTTTGTTATATCTAAATTAATTATTTATTCTTCAGGCACATTTTAGTTTCAATCAATTTTAAATTTATCATAAGATACCTTTTAAAAATAGCAAATACTCACCTTTCTCTGCTGCTCTATTTAACTGAAAATTATTAATATTGGGGTAATAACTAAACTTTGGATCTGAGTAAAACAATTTTCCCAAATATTTTAAGTTGAACAAAATATAGAAGATAATACATAAACACAGCACGTCATATTAATTTATTAAGTTAGTATAAATTTATATGACAATAAATATGAATAGTATTTTAAACATATTTAATACAACAAAATTTAAGTTAACAAAGTAGGTATTTATACACTCTTTTTGTTTAAAAAAAATTCTGTTTATAACTTAATATTTTTATATTGCTGTATTTAATTACAACTAATATACATAAACATATAATTTTATAACAAAATAAAAAATAACTGTCTCAAAATGTACATACTGAAAAAATTATGTAAATATTACATCATATAATATAATTAAAACAAGTTGTTGATTATCAAATAAAAGTTATGTTAATAAAACAGAATTTAATTTATCGGGTACTATTATCTTAGCTCTAGTTTTGTGTTTTGTCTCTGGTCTATGGGGAAGAGCATATCTCAATTTCTCCCAAAACCAACTATCTCCCCATTTAATATAAGTGTTCATGGATAGATATGCTTTTAACTCTGGATCTAAATCTTTAGTTGATATGTCTCCATAAAGTATAACAATTATACGACTACGCCGTTCRTTCAGAGCACTAGAATAAGCTGTCCTGAACTCTGTACGGCCCCAAACACTCTCTAAAAAATGTTTTGACAGTACAATAATAGTTCTTCGAGATTCATCAACTGAACGAGCAATTTGGGCAGGAATCCAATCACCGACTACCCAGTCTCTGTAGTGAAGACAAAGTTTAAATGGTGAGCTGCCTCCTTCCAAGCCTGGGACTAAATGCTTTGCAACTAGTTCCTCGTCTTTGTGAGAGAAACTAATAAATGCATCGTATTTTTTATCTTGGTCAAGAGATTCTTCAGATATTGGCCATGTTATGTTATGAGAATACAACCATATTTTAATTTTAGTCTTGTTGTTACTATATAAAATCCATAACAAACCTAATACTAAACTAAAAACAGCTAAAAACATGGATACAACAATAATCGTGGAAGTATTTAATTTTTCTTGACATACTTCTTCCGCAGTCAGAGTGTATAACAGAGTTGATGATTGATGGCAGGTGATGTTGGCTAAATCAAAAATCTATTTAAAAGAAAAAATAAGAATAATATAATAACTATACAATAATAACTCATATTTTTAAAGAGTACTAAAATATGTTTTACCTTAGATGAATATTTGTGAATAAAATTGATAGTATTCTTAGAATCACAATCACATATCCATGAATTACTATTCATTGTTAAGATATTTATGTTGGGTAATGTATTGTTCAAATTCGTCTCACTAATCATTGTAAGATTATTATTTTCCAGGTGTAATTCCTAAAATAAAAACTTGGGTTGTAAAAATTTTAAATATATTCATGAAAATAATAGCTTTAAAAATGTATTTTAAGAGGATACCAGCCACAAACACATAATATAAAAATTGTACATTCAAAATAATTCATGTAACTGTTATATTTAAATTATTTAATACTTGGGTAAACTAATCTATTATCAAATTAGAAGTAAGAATGTATAGTGAACCTCAAATGTTTTTTTTATACTCAAATTTTAAAGTGATTTTTAATCATAAAATATACAAACAATTTAGTTTTAAAATGATCATAAGTCATAATGCTCTTCAAAATTAAAATAACAATAAAAAAACCTATAAGATCTGATAGATAATATTTTTTAGTTCTAAATTTCATAGGTCAATTCGCTCTCTTAATATACATAACAATGTGAAATTAATTATTCAGAACATAAAGTTTGTTATGTTATGCGTTTATTGAGATTTAGTTGGAGTTGACACACAAGTAAAATGTACTCTAGTAMTCCTTAAAAGTAAAAACTTAGGTAACAGAATAGGCTTTGGAATATAATAAACAATTCTGATTGAATATATTTGATATAGGGTGTATACATTTTATTTTAAGGTTCCATATAATTCATAAAAATAATATTAATGATCAGAACTAGAGACTAAGGTACTAGAAATTATGAAACATAATATGATATAATAATAATATCACTTTCAAGAAATATAAAATATGCTCTACAAAGTTTATACATCTAGCATATTTATGTTGATTTCACTTTTGAAACATAAGTACAAGCAAAATGAATTATTGTATATAAAATTTACTATGTCGTACGTTTGAATAACAGAGATAACACAAGAAAAGTATCGCTTAAGGCATATTACCAGAATATTTTTATGTATAAACTATGAATCTTTTGATAAGTTGATAGTTAAGGTTATAAGAAGAGAACTCCATTACAAGAAAAATAATAACAGTCAAAATTATGTACTAGTTAAAGTGAACCTCACTCAGAATCTAAAATAATATAAATGTAAATTAATTTTTTAATACAAAACCAGTTTCATAAACTTACCATAAGATTTTTGGGTAACTGTGTAATGTTAATGGTATTTAAATTGTTATAACCAACATCTAACTTTTTGATATTTAAATGTTCATAATTTGGTAACTTGGTGATAGAATTATTCCTTAAATTCAGTTCTGTATAATTAACATTTCTACTTGAAATTATTACTTCGGGTGCCAATATTAAATTTCTATTTGAACAATTCATCAGGGCAGAATTATCATGAGGACGGTAAGTACACTCACATTCGAAACAATCAGTCTTGTTTACATCATTAAAAAGTTTCCAGTCACATGTTAAACTTTCAATATTCACATTTGAAAATTCTGTATGTAAGCCATCGTTACAAATCAATTTTTGTTCAATTTGTAAAAACTTGTACACTATTTTTGGCATTTGGTTATGTAARAATCTTGCAAATTCATAATTACGACAATCACAAATAAATTTATCACTTGATAAATTTATTTGTCTATTATTCCAGAAATTGTATGGTGGCCTTTGAGCTCTAGCAAATATTTCTAAACTTGATAAATCAATTTCCTCTAAAGGATTATTGTTTAGATTAGTTTTTACAATTTCATTAATGTACTGTATATCTTGTACTCTTAGTACAGTAAAGTTATTACTGGATAGATTAATATTAATCAACTTAACCAGATTTACCCAACCAGGATCAATACAATTTATGAAATTGTTTGATAAATCAATAGTTTCAACATTCTCCAAATAATGTAATGAAAATGAATGATTTGAGATCAAGTTACTTATTTTATTATATGCCAGTTTCAATGTTTTCAATTTTGGAACATTTAATGCTTCTCGTTCAAAATTTGTTATCCTATTTCTTTCCAAATTGAGGTACTTTAAGTTTCTTAAGAACCTTAGACCGTAGTGATTAATTTGGACTATCAAATTATTGGATAAATTTAAGGTTTCTAAATGTATTAATGGTCTCAGTAATTCACGATTGATGTTTTCAATTCGATTGTTAGATAAATCTAACAATTTCATTTTTCCAGCATCCCGAAAAAACATCACTGGTAGTTCATTTAAACGATTTGAAGTTAATGATAATTCTGTAATATTTGATGAATTCCAGATCATATTTTCAGGTACCCTTTCTATGTTTAAAGACCTCAGATAAACAGAAAGTAGTCGGTCTAAATTTGTTAAAAAATTATGAGGTATAGTGCTAAAGTTACCATAGCTGAATCTGATAGACTCTAAAGAAGTATTCTTAAATGTTTGATCAGGCATTGTTACTAAAAAATTTTTATTTAATGATATATCCAGAAGTTGATTGAGACGTCCAACAGTTATAGAAGTAATTCTATTGTTGGCTACATCCAAATGCTTCAGACTCTTAGCATTTAAATCCAAAGATGTTAAATAATTTGAGTCCAAATTCAAACCTTTCAATGGAATACCATAAAATACATCACTATTTATTTTGGTTATCTTATTATCTCCTAAATCTAATATTTCTAAATGAGTAAGGGGTTTGAACACACCCTCAGGTATTTCTTCTAAGTAGTTTTGTCTGAGATATAACTTTGTTAGATGTGGTGTTCCTTCAAACGATTCATTGGTTAATATTAATTTGGTAAGACTAATATCTAAAGTCTGTACACTCTCCAAGTTCAAAAAGTAAGTATTTTTCAGACTACCATCGAGTTTCATAGAAACTAGCTTCAATGTTTGAACTTTATTAATGCCAAGTGTTGAAATGGTTTGATGAATTCCTGTATCGGATAATAGGCATTTTGCGTAATGTAAAGTTTTGATATCAATTTGATCAAAATGTTGTTCCCATTGTATTTTATCTGAATTACATTCAATTTTAATAATGGATTCTATCAAATTGGATTCTACAGTTGACAACCCACATGCCACTTGTATTTCTTCATTGTAAATATCATGCTTACATGTGCATTTATCACTACTTAAACACAACAAGTCTGATAATACTTGACCAAGAAGTACTTGAAGTATAATGATGTGCATAAACCAGTTCATTCTGAAAAAAAATAAAATCATTTTTCAATCAAATTTTAGATGAATATTGTGAATTTGTAACTAATGAAATATGAACTTATTCATCCAAAGTAAAAATATCTAATGAAATGTATAAAAAAAATGCCTAATTCACACAAATTATATATACCTATATATATTATTTTATAATAATAATATATTTTTTTATTAGGATTATTGATTGTTTTTAATAAATAAGATCATTCGGATAAAATTATATATAAATTGTACATAAATCAAAGGTTGTTTTTTTATAAATCATTTAGATAACACTATTATAATTGGATTATTATTTTCTTACAAACACACGGCTAAATAGTATCTTTTGAATATAATAATAGTAATAGAAAATTAGGGGTAAACACAATGAAGTGTACCGTGTACCGTTTTTATTATGCTTAGTATATACAATGCTGCATATTGTCTAAATTAGAACAAATGGCTATGGTATTCTTATAGATATTTCTTATTAATTCTATAAAAATATAAAATTTATAACTATCATAAAAAGTATATGTCCTTATAAAGTTACACAAATTAAATAAATTAGGTACTTGTGTATTAGGATTTAATAAAAATCTATTTCATTATTTATGTTTATAATTTTATACAGGACTATAAAATTAATTTTAAGATTAATCTAATTTAAAATAGTTGTATACAAGCAAATTTTGTATTTTTAGAATCTTGTTATCAACATGTCGAGAAAAACATAAAAAATATGACGTGCAGAGTACGTCATACTTATTATAGGTAGAGGTTGTAGTATATTAAATATTTATATGTACATACAATTTAAATGTATATTATAATATGAGTTATAATATTATAATTATCTATTGTATCACTCAATAGAGCATTTAGTATTACCTATCTTTTGGAAACAAAAGATAAAATGCCAACAAAGTACATAATATATTTATACATATCAATGATCAACTAACACTCTGGAATGATATTACATAAAATAATCTTGGGGAAGGGAAAAAGGAAGTTATCACTTGACATTTTAGAGTAGGAGCAGTTATTATTTTTCTCCCCTGTATTAAGCTTAAATTTATTGAATACATTTTTTCGTTTGTTAAGCATTATGTTTGTATTTGAATAGGTATTGTATTTCTGTGTGCATTTGATGCAATTATTAATTTGTTATTAAAATATWTATATTGTAATAGGTACACTTCAAGTCATTAAGCATATTACATATCTATATATAGATAGTTCTAATTTGATATATTTTTACTTATTTACTAACAATGAATCATTATTTATTTGTAAATTATTTGAAAAGGGAGGGTGTAAAAACTAATAATAAATATTATTAAATCCCCCCCCCCGACCCCAAAAACAAGATACTTTATGTAAACTAAATTCACATTTTACAAGACAAAAAATCGCGAGAAATATATATAACGA